AGCGTGATGGAGAGAGGGAGGGAGGGAGGGAGCAGAAGGTCTAACCTGAACTTGAGTGAGGGGAGGGGGTCAGGAAGGGCTTCCTAAGGAGAGGTGAATTTGGACTCACTTGGTGTAAAGTGGGAGTCTCCGGGGCTTGGGAGACGGGACGAAGGAACAGCCAGTGGATCCACACGTGGGGCGCAGCAGGTGCAGACGGCTGGAAGGAGGAGAGACAGCGATGCTTTTTGGAGGACCCAGACGTTGCTCCACGTGCCTGCTGGGGCTGTGGGCCTGGAGGCGGGGAGAGGCAGCAGGGCAGGGGAGGAAAGAAAGGGACCTTGAGAGCTTGAATTTGAGAAGTGTTCACTTTGTCCTGGGGATGATGGGACCACCGGGAAGGGTCTGCATAGGGGAATAAGAGCACTTGAATCAAACACGGTAAATATCACCAGGCCGCTGGGTTAAAGGCAGGTGGGAGGGGAGCAGGCAGGTCAACTTGGAGGAGGTTGCCGTAACCCAGATACGAGATGGCAGGTGCCTGGGATGGGAGGAGCAAGGGAGAAAGAGTGGAGTCGCTTGGGAAGTGTTGGAAAGCAGGAAAAGATGGGACTTGGTGCTCAACTAACTGTGAGGGTAAAAGCTGGGAGAGTTTTAAAAAATTCTTGCACGTGAAACTGGAAGGATGCAGGTGCCGTCTCGTGAGCACTGGTGTCAGAACTCAGCCTTTGAGCCAGGGAGTGCTCTTGCTGGGAGAAGGCAGGAGAGCCTCAGGTATGTGAAGCCACCCACGGGTATCTCAACAGCTTGGAGATGAAAACAGTTACAAGCTTGCAAGGACGTTGTATGTTTCCTTCCCACTCAGAGATGTCTGTTGCAACACTGTGTCATTGCAAGGAGTTAGGGAACTCGGCAGACAACTCAGGATCTGTTGCTGGGCGGAACATTCTGCAACAATATGAAACAGTTGTGCCTGCAACTAACAAGCTACCAGGACACCCATGATAATTGTAAGGTAAAACAGCAAGTTGCAGAAAGCGATGTAAGATATAGGATCCACTTTGGGCTTAAAAAATAAGCAAACAAATGTTGGGCGAGCATAAACAGATTCACACAAAACTACCAACGGTGGTTACCCCTATTTAGAAAAATTAAAATTCCCTCCATATTGTCTAGCAGAATCATCAACAACGACGACAAGGAGGAGAAAGAAGTGTGTTTTCTAAAAAATATCACAGACTGGCTTTCTGGTTGGATTTCAGGTGGGATGTGTTTTAAGGCCAGAGTTCTTCCTCAATATTTGATTTTTTTCCCCCAATATTTGATTTTTTTAAAAACAAAGGTGCTGCGTTTATATCTGCCGGTTTAAATTTCTGTCATTTCACTTCAGCCTTTTAGTGTGGCAAATCATTTTGCTTTTACTTAAGCATTGGTAATTTGGTACTAGCTAAGAAATAATTCTATAATTGAGTTTTGTACTCATCATGTATGGATCATTCCTCCTCTATGATGTGCCCCAAATGCAGCTTCATTTCCCCAATACCTTGATGCAGAATAAAGTTTTTCATCATTTAAAAAAAAAAGAAGTATGTTTTCTAAATTATGATAAGCTGTCCATAGGAGATAGGTTTGTTGCGTGCTCGCTTCCCCTGAGGCCGGTGATGGTTTATCTCCAGAAAGGGGCACGCGCATCTTGAATTAAAATTCAGTAAAAAGCCGTCGTTTCCTTGTGTTGCCGACTCTTCTGGATCGCTGCTGTAGAGAGGCGGGTGGAAATTACAGGGAAAGGGCTCGGCGGCGGAGTGGTGAGCCCACGCAGAGGGCCAGCCCTAGCAAAGCTTCAGTTCAGCTTTCAGAGGCGCCCACGGCCTGGGCGGCCGCGCACATCTGTGCACATCTGTGCACCACGCCCACACGCACGGCCCCTCCACATGACGGGACGGGAGCCCGGGTTGGCTCGGGCCGACGCTGCCTCTGTTGACATCCAACTACCGCTTGCCGGCCACAGGAGAGGGGAGCGGGGAGGGACAGAGCAAGGAGAAATATAATCGGGAAGGACCCGAGCTGGGGCTTATTTGGAAACTTTGCTTACTCCCCGGAAGGGCTCGGGTTGAAAGCGTCTCTGGACTGGCTGTTGGCTTCCAATTGCAGAAGTGACGTGGACATCGCAGGAGAGCAGCCTGTCCTCCTGGGACCGTCCTTGCATCCTGCTGGCAGCCGAGCTGGAGACGCCCACGGAAGTGCTCCCTCCTGCAACGTTCTGCATCGTTTTATTCTGTTTGGATTTTCCATCCTCTGCAAAGAAAATAAATAGCGTCCTTGTGAGTGGTGTGCTTGGGGTGGTAGAACTCTCACCGCTCTCGGCCCTCGCGAGCTCTTCCGCTTGTCTTCTCACTCCGGATGGAGACTCCTGGGCCCCAGCGTCCTTTCTCTGTATGTGGATCTTGGTCTGTGGCAACTGGCTGGCAAACTTGAAGATCTTGCGTTTGTCATCTGCCAGATTTTTTGTTGTGCGGTTTAATTTTTTTCCCCCCCTTTACAAGCTGTTCGAGTGTCCTAGCTGCAGAGAGCAGATGGTTTTCCTATTCCCTTGATGTTTCCTTTATGCGGATGGTCGTTAAGAGGTGTTCTAAGGCGGCGCCGCGGTAGGATAGTTTCTATAGTTACTCTAGTTAGCACCGCTGCGTTTATGCCTTTGCCAGCACGGAAGACTGTCCAATCCATCAAAGTCTGGAAACCACTTAAAATAAATGGCCATGTATGTTTTGAAATCAGGTAGGGGAAACCTCAAGGTTTCAAGTCACCATTAATAAATAATTACCCTTTTGTTAATGCCTCCTGCCAGTTCCCCGATAAGAAAGAGCTGATAGAAGATGTAGCTGGATCATAGCTTCCCGCTAGTTAGAATGCGCCTATATTGCACTCCCCATACCGTGTTTCCCCGAAAATAAGCCCTCCCCATAAAATAAGCCCTAGCAGGATTTCTAAGCATGTGTGCAATAGAAGCCCCACCCCGAAAATAAGCCCTAGTGACGGGCGTGGCTGCGCAGCGCATCTGCACAACCCATGCGTGTCGTCGCGGAGCGGGAAAGAAGACGAGCAGCCCTTCTCATCTGGCCCGTGAGAGCTCTATGGCTCGACAGGAGAGATCAGGGCCAGTGGTTCTAAAGGAAATAGAGTCGCAAGAAATTCAGGATGGAGTTCGGGATTTGGAGAGTGATGATGATGTTCCAGAAGACGACCACTGAACTCTGTTTAAATCAATGTAGATGGTTGTACTGTACTTAAAAAGAAAAACAAACACACACACACTTGCCCTGAAAATAAGCCCTAGGGTGTCTTCTTGAGGGAAAATAAATATAAGGCCCCATCTTATTTTCGGGGAACACGGTAGATGGAAGCTTCCAGGGACCACATGAGAAGCGTGCGGTGTCCATGCTGTATACGGTCCTTGCCTTGGTGGGTAGTCAAAACTATGTAGGGACAAAGTCTTCCCTGTAAGGTTTAGCCCAGAGCTTAGGCAACTCCCAAACTGGAGCAAACCTAGATGCCCGCTCAATACGTGCTCAC